GTTATTCAAACTTGAATTTCTATTGATTTTAATTAGTGACAAATATTTTATTCTTCTTATTATTTGAAGTTTTCAAATTAATATCTGTGCTTCATGATTCTAAATGTTTTGTGACTCTAGGGTATTATGTTTCAATAACTTTTGGGATATCAAAAATATGAGCATTAGCTCTTGGTTGCAAAACTCTATCTTTGTCTAACACAGGTCTAAGGGTCGACACCAGAAGAGCAAGGGTCGACACCAGAATAATCCTCAAGAGTGATAAGTGTTCTAGAACAAAGGGTCGACACCAGAAAAGCAAAGGTCGACACTAGGGAGAAGCTGGAAACATAACTAAGTGTTCCAGATGCAAAGGTCGACACCAACAACAGCAAGGGTCGACACCAAAAAGCAATATACACCTCAGCCGCAAGGGTCGACACTAACAATAGCAAGGGTTGACACCAAAAAGAAATATACACTTCAGTCGCAAGGGTCGACACCAAATGAGATAAGGGTCGACACTAGGAACACCTGTAAATCAACTCAGGAAAGAAAAGACAGAGCAAAGGGTCGACACCCAATCTGCAAGGGTCGACACCTTTATGCCTGGGTTGCAAAAAAAACTAGCCGCCATCTTCCAACTCCAAGAGGCTCTCTGTGACGTCATCATCAGACAAATTCTATTCTAATCAAAAGGGACTTTGGGACATCAACCTCTGACTTAGTGGAGGAAACATTCTCCATCCATACCACTCCCAAAATCAGAGAAAGCAAAAAGCTTTAGGACAACATCATCTCCTCCACTAAAGGTTTGAATCTCAAGTATGAACACCACATCTTTTGAGAAAGCTCCACCTCCCACAATTAGAAGACAACCTGTACCACCCAAGCTCCACTTGCAACAGTTGGAAACTTTCTCCTTGCCTAGCTCCAACGACTAGAAGACCCACGTGGGTGTGTTTGTACTTCAAGAGAGAAGTCGGATGGAAGCTATAAAGCGGGATCTTTTCCAGATCTGAATTGAGAGAAACTCACATAGTTTGGGAAGTTGGTTTTGGTGGGTTAGGGGCTAAAATAGCCACAAAAAACAAAACATCAAATCCAACCCATAATCATTACACTCCTCTCTCACAAAAAAAGTCAAAAAGCCCTTCCCAAACCAGGCTTTTTAGCCCCAGGCTAAAATAGCCAAAACGCCAAAAAGCCAACCCACTTCCCAAACGGAGGCTAAGTATACAGAGCATTATTTTCAACCTCTGAGATTCCATTTTTTGTTCTCCCATTTTTAGATCTAAGTTAGTCTAAAATTTACTTGTGAGCTTACACTTTCATAATCCATCTTTTGAGAGATAGTAATTGTCAAAGAGGACAGTTGAACCTCTTCTTCTAGTTTCTTAGTTTCTGAGTGAAACACTTGTAAAGTGAGGCATTTTGTTGAGTGAGATCTTCAACAAATTGAAGTAAGTCCTTTTGTAAAAAATCACAAGTTGGGAAAAGCTTAGTGGTGTATCAATTCATAATGAAGAAATTCTCAAGGAGGACTCTTGAGGAGTGGACGTAGGCTGGTGAGCCGGACCACTATAAATCCTTATGTTAAGTTCTTCTTTCCATTTCTTTTTACTTTCTGTTAATCTATTGATTATCTGTTGCATTTAATTACTTAAGATCTTTGAACCTTATTTTTGGACCAAATTTTTTAATAACCCAATTCACCTCCCCTCTTGGGTTGCTTTCCTGTTTAACAATTGGTATCAGAGCCACGTCTCTAGTAGTGTGACTTAATCGTCTTAGAGTGATCTATGGAAAACCCTAGTTCTTCTCTCCCTGAAGGTCAAGCCTCAAACAAACCACCTTTCTTCAATGGAACAAATTTTAACTATTGAAAAACCCGCACGATTATGCATATTCAATCTACT